AATAAATAGGATTCGATCCCAATGACCAAATTAGAGTCCAAAAATATATTTTATCTCGCGGTTGCACCTGGGTGAGACCCGGCTTTTTTTTTGTGGCACAGTTTTATGACAAACTATGGTCTTGCAAACTAAGACAGAACTGTTTAGCAAATTCTTCGTCTATTACAATTATTGTTATAGCAACAACAAGATTGAGAACTTGAAGATAAATGTACATGTCACTATCACTGGTGGTTTGTTGGTTGGGGATGGTAGAGCAAAAGGAGCCTGTAAATACAATTTTGTGTACTAAAACAAAACTGCATTTTCAGCTAGTTGACACACTAACAACTTGGGGCTTAGAGACTGAATCTTTTTGCAGTCATTACAAGATAATCTGTGGGTATTCTTTTCTTTTCTTACTGTTATAGGGTACTCAAGTCAGCCTCATTACAGAGAGAAATTGCTCCAACTTACAAATGTGGAGGAGAGGCCGTGGGATGTGTACTGAAATGGGAATAGCCAAAACACCTACTGATGGAAAATAAGCCACTTCTAGCAGGCAATGACTCGGGTTTATCCTCAGATTTACTGTGAGGAAAGTGCCTATGAAAGGCATTCAATGCTCCTATCAACCCATCTTCGTCATCTATGGCCTTGGCAATTTCAACAGCACGCTCTTTAACCTTTCTACCGAAAATAGTTATGTCTTTGTTAATTTAATATATTCATGTCCATACTAGGGATTGAAATAACAAAAAATAACCCCTAGAGTTATGACTAGTATTTGCATGTTAAAATTGATCGAAAAACAATGGCAACTTCAATCAAATCAGTGCGCATGCATGTGTGATAATTTTACGCTCAATATGTAAGTGATAGAGCAAAAAGCCAATAACTTACCGGTAAGTTATAGCGTGAAAAGCCAATATTTAACCATCATATAAGTGATGGAGTGAAAAGCCTATAACTTACCGGTAAGTTATTGCGTGAAAAGCCAATATTTAATCCACAGGTAAATGATTGAGCGAAAAGCCTATAACTTACCGGTAAGTTATTGCGTGAAAAGCCGATATTTAATCGACATGTAAATGATGCAGTGAAAAGACTACAACTTACCGGTAAGTTATCGAGTGAAAAGCCAATACTTTACCAAACATCAAAATTAAGACAATCTGGTGCGCCTCCACTAACGAGCACGCAGTATCGAAGAAACTCTGGCGTATGCATCCCAACTAGGATTTCAAACTTAAAATAATAATTAAAAGATAAAGCTTGAAAAAACCAAGCTATAACAATACAAATAAAATGACATGACTCGCCCCGAATTCCTCGGAATCCGTGACGGATCCAGTGGTATTTTCGACATCCAACCGATACCGGGCCCACTCACAAGACAGAAAATAATCCCCAAGTTACTGATCCTCTACAAATGAATGGTGTTGTCAAACTCCGACAGATACTGTTTGAATGCATCTGTATTTCCAGTTTCTATTAAATCCATTCCCATCCTGTCTAAACCCTCAATAGATTTGTGTACATAAAATAGAGAGTGAGACCCGCCAGGAAACAAGAAATCTAAATGAAAAAAACGTCATTCAAGTTTTCCAAAAATCGGCCGCCTAGGCAGGACCTTTTTCAAAAAAAGAAAAAAAAACGGTATAGCCGGGCGGCTATACTCTTTAAATAATGTATAGCATAGTAAAAAACAGTATCGCCGCGCGGCTATACCTTTTCGACACGTGGAATAGGCGCAAGTCGCCAGGCGGCGGTCTTATTTTTAATTATAAATAATATAGCCGTGCGGCTATACTCCGTGCTGTTTTAAAATAAATATAGTATAGCCGTTCGGTTGTACTTGGATTTTTGACACATGGCGAAGTAGCGCTAGAAGCCCGGCGGTGGTCTTTTTTTAATTATAAATAGGATAGTCGTGCGGCTATACACGGATTTTATTTTAAAAAATGTATAGCCGAGCGGCTATACTAGAGTTTTTATTATAAAAATAGTATAGCTGCCGGCTATATCCTTTACATAAAACTTGATTTTGGGCTGAAATTTATTAGGGAAATGACCCTCAGTGCCACCTCTTTGATAATTTTAACTAAAAATATCATCCCTTCCCAATTTTTTTACAACTATCAACTATAAATATAAAATTATTGTACCCTTATTGCTCTCCTAACACTTTATTTGAAATTTACCTCCCGCCCATCAGCTCCCTCTTGGCTCCGTCGCTCAGTCTCTTCACTCTCTGGTAACTCTGCTCTCACTCTCTCGTCTCTCAGCTCTAACTCTCTCATCTCTCGTCGCTCAGCTGTCACTCTCTCTTCTGTCTTCCTCTCCCAGCGAAATCTGTTCATCGAAGAACAACGCCATCATTCACAGCAAACAGGTACTGTTCATCGAAATTCTTGTACGGCTTAGGGTTTATGGGTTTGTTTGAAATTGGTTGACGGGGTTGTTTGAAATTGGTTGACGGGGTTGTTTGAAATTGGTTTAGGGTTTGGGGGTTTCTCTGAAATTGGTTTAGTGGGTTTTCTGAAATGGGTTTAGGGGTTTCACTAAAATTGGTTTTGCTTTAACTCTGTTTGCTAACTTAAGGGCTTGCATATTGGATATGGATAAGTTCTCTTTGTTTTTCATATTCTCTTGTGATTATTTGGAATTTCAGTTTGGGGATGAATATTCAATGTCTAAACAAAGGGCAAGGAACCATATGTGGTGTAATATGAGTTCTTTAAAAGTTTGCTGTTTTATGCTTGATCATTGTATGCTTAAAACAAAGCGGGAAATGAGTGAAGATGGGAACATGCCACCAGCAGGTGTGGTTTAGAGAAATGGGGCCATGGATTTTGCTATAAGCTAACTCTTTAAGCTTTTGCTTGTCTTTTTTGTGTATGGATAGTTAGACAACTCTGTTTATGAGGTGAACTTTTAATTTTTTAATTGTACATGTGTAAGAAACATTTTTTACAGTTTTGATGGTTTATTTATTCATTTATCTTTGATATTGATAACGCATACAATACATACAAACCTCTGATTTTGTTAAGAAAAAACTGAAGGGATGGTGCCAATTTCATTAATTTCCTTACATTTGAAAGGAGGGCATATTGGAGTCATGATTGTGGTTGCCACTAATTGATAGGATGTTCCATTACATTATACGTTGAAGTCAATAAATTGTTTCCTGATGTCTTCTTGTTGAATTGTTCTGAATTAGGCTTCTGCTACTGCACATTCCTATTGTAGCTTAAGCTGTCATGATTATCTGGTGTTTGGAGATGTGTCTGTAGATATTTAGTTAATTGTCAATGATCATGTAAGGTAAATACTTAAATCCTTGTGAGACAGAAATTGGAGTGAGAGACAAGTAATTTGAAGGACACATGAAAAACTGAGTGAGAGACAAGTAGTTTAATGGCATTTTTTAGGAAGCCTTGTGAAGAGAAAATATAAAAGAAGGAAGTGGGAAAATATAAGGGGAAATAGCCTTTTATGCCACCATTTTCATAATTTTAAGTGAAAATACCACCCCTTCTCAAAAATTGTAAAATTATCACCTATAAAAATATATTTATTGTCAACTTATTGCTCAGATATAACTGTTATAGAAATTTTGGTCTCTCAGAGCTACCTATTCACTCTCTCTCTCTCTCAGCTCTCTCTCACAGTTCTCTCTTCCTCTCTCAGCGCTTTCTCTCTCCATCGACCACCACCACTCTCTTTCTCCCTCTGTCGCAAAAACCTAAGGAGCACTCTCTCTTTCTCTCTTTGCAGTCAATGTTAGGGTTTGTTGAGGGGGTTCTTGAAGGTGAAAGAGAGGGTTGCTTCGTTAAATGCTCTCTCCCTTCTACAATCTCTCAGTTCCCTCTCTTTTCATGTTTTCAATAGACGTCTTTCATAGTTCTGATAATGCAAGTCACATACTGAAGTCTCCACAAGATAAGTGGCATACAGTCTTTCCTAGTATTTAAACAATATACTATATTATTGATAACATGTGTTGAGGCCCAAAATATCACGAGAAGTCCAAAGATATTTAAAGCCCAATATAACATATAATGTTAGTCATGCGTTAGCTGTATTTTAGGAATTAATTGATTTAATAAATATAAAAATAATGTACATGCCATGCCAACCCAATAATACATTTTTCTACGCTAAACCACCCGATAAGCTTAAGTGGGCCCAAGCCACATACATGCCTAGGGCTTATTGAGCGGTTTGTGGCGTGGATGATTACAAGGATCGATGAGGCCCATCAAAAGGTTCAAGAAATGGATGTTTTGGGCTGCTTGGGAGCACCAAAACCCAAGCCCATTTCTATTGAGCCTATTGATTGGGAAAGCAGAAAGCATGTCTTCTTCCAGCACTTACCAACTACCATCATTTATTACACAACCCCCAACTTCTTATTTTCCACCACCGAAACCATGCCACAAGCCACTCAAGCCAAGCCAAAATCTCAGTTCAAAACAATCATTATCCACTTGGTGAGAAAAACCTGAGTACTCCCTAAGAACTAGCATTCTTTCGAGGTATTTTGGGGCCTAGTTCTTGAACCCAGGCAAAGGAGCAATTTCAGTCTCTTTTTATAGCAGCCCAAGTCCACCTAGAGCTGCTGGAACAGACCACCCACAACAGGATACCTGTTCGGTACTTGTGGTTTAATCATTATGCTTTTTTATGGCTCTAGTAGCTACAATTGGCATCTCCAGTCTCCAATTGTCGAACGGTATCTCCAAAATTGTTGGGCGACACCCCCCCAATTGATGATAAGCACCTCCCCAATTGACGAATGGTGCCTCTCCAATTGCCAAACGGTACCTCCAAAATTTTGGGCAACACCTGTTGTTAAAAATTGTGTTTTTCCTTTTCTGTAAAACTCTTATTCAAGCCTTTAGATATAAATAATACATAAAGCAAAGCTTTAACAGTAAAATAAAAATAAAGAAACAAATCATAAATAAAATAAATCAAGAGTAAGAAAACAAGCCTGGTATAGTGAAAGCACGTCAAAGACGCTGTACTAAAGCCTTTGTAGCCTCCTTACGTGTAGGTAGTGACGGTATACAAGACTTCAAGATACGACCCCAATACACAAGCTCAAGGTCCACTATGAGCACGTTCACAGTCTGATAGGAATCTCCAAGCCACAGAACCGTTGCCCAAAAATATGGAAAGTAAAGAATATATGAAAGTAGGAGAATATTGAAATCAGATTGTGGTGTATTCAAATGTGAAGGGGGAGTGGCCTTTTATAGGCATCCAACACTTGTAACCTCCAAGCACATTAAACCAGAAAAATTAAGGCAATGAATAGAAAATAAAAACTGAAAATTAAACAATTGTAACTCCCATAATAAATAAAAGAAAATAGCCAAAATATTAAAACAAAAAATAAAACGTTAAAAATTAAAAAGCCTTTCAAATAATAACAACACCTGCCCAATTGATGTTCAATACTCCAAATGTCCAACGGTACCTCCTTAGTTGCTAGGCGACACCTCCTCAATTGCTGGGTGGCACCACCCCTATGGCACATTGCGATACCATCAGCACCACGACCTCCTATAGTGTGCTGTGATGTCATTCGGCACCACATCCTGCTATCCGATATTTTCACCAGTCTACTAATGGGGGACTGGATATGGTGTACTATACTGATTAGAAGAAGACTAAGGAGTTGCTCGATCAGTGCACTGAAGATTACAAGTCCACAACTAAGAAGCACCTCCTTACTTGAGAACTTGGGGGACTCTTGTTTATACCATATAGGACCAAACAACTCTAAAATTGACCATGAAGTACCTCATTCAGCTCTCCCACCAAGTTCTCCTTCATTGGTACGAAGACTGTTGCAGCATCAAGAAAATATAGTCTGTCATAAGCGAACACAACCACTTCTACAAAATTGACCATAAGGCACAAGCAAAATAGCACAAATAAATTTTTACGGCATATTGTTCGTCAGTAAGCACAAATGAGTCATATTTGTGCTGTTTTTAAGAAAGCCACACTACAATCGTGTATATTCGAATAGGATAGAGATGAGATTGTGCTCTTATACTTATTTTATTTATGCCTTTATTAGAGCAAGCTAATAATTTATGCAGTGCATCAATTTTTGTTTTTTCGAGAAGATCCATCATATCAAATTTCACCTAGGTGGTGGCTATATATCCAAACAAATTCCCAAAATCATTGTACTGTCCAGCAATTTGAAACGGGGTGATTTCTATATCAGTTCCCATATTAGTCCCAAACAGTTCCCAAAACCATTATAGTGTCCAGCAAACAAACCAATTCAATCAAAATGAGCAGTAGGTCTTGTTAGAAACTGAATAATCCAAACATCAGATAACATACAGAGGATCCAGTACATTGGTCCGTAGGACTGAAAAAGGGAGAAGCAAAAATACAACCAGGTCACAGCTTTAGCAAAAATAATCCATAAAATATTAGCACAGTACCATAGTTTCCATCTCACTTTCGGAAGAATTAAGCCAAAATTATAATAAATATAAAATAAAAAATAAACAGAAGTCAGCAAAGACAAATTCGAATGTCTCAAACCAAGTTATAGGAAATAGGAATTTTTTTTATTCTAGGTGGTGGCTATCCAAGGCTTTTAAATTTTCATATTTCACAATTCCTGATATCCGATTCGCAATCATTGGCTTCTTCAAGCTGCATGCATGGCTTCTATTTCAAGCTTCATGGCATTTATTTCTTCTTGTTTTGGTTGATTCATATTCCAATCCCAATGGGTTCATAATCCTTGCACTCACTGTCATAAGAATGAGAAACCATGTTATATACAAAATGCACCAGAATTCCTAGGTACAAATTAAATGTTATTGATAAAAACACAAGAAACGTGAGGGAAACTTACGATGTAAAGCAGAAAACAAGATCGAACCATTCAGAGCCCTTGATATCCACAGAATGAACAATTGAATCTATGGTCTTGATCATATGTTTTCCTTCTTCAAGAACAATTTCAAACGTGGTGATACTAAGATATTGAACCTTGGGATGTGAATCGCACTTGCCAGTCTGGACATAGAAAAAGTCATGGTTTCCCAAATGAACCAAATATTGTGTCCTATCGTTAAGCCGTGGCAGCGGCGGATGCGCAATATCAAGGCCTTGCACTATAAAGAGTTGCCTAAGGGAATATGAAATACCATTAACATCAGATTTTTCCCCCATAAAGGAGAATGCTTTCATCTTTGCATCCCCAGATAAGGCATAGATAGTCTCGTCTACAACCACGGCCCTCCCTTCGAAAGGTGGAGCACAATGAGCAGAAGTGTCAATTTTCACTCGATTCCAGTCCCTTCTACGCAAGCGAAAAGCAACGACACCAAAACCCCCGTCCCTCGAGCCAGACAATGAAAACAAAATAACTCCATAACAAACGGCATAGCCAGTCACTTGCATAGTGTGGTCATAATCATCATAAAATGGAAAAGAAGTCATTTGTTCCCAAACCTTATGATCAGGATTATATCTCCCGAAGGAATGCTCCGTAACTGGTGAGAAGGTTGACGAACATGCAAGATAATAAACCTTGCCATACGCACACACAATAGTTTCTACTGAGTTAGAGGATGGAATAGGAGGAATAGATGAACATTTTGACCAACTCCTCGTGTCAACAATAAATCCACCATCTTGTCCAATGCAGTATAATTCTGAGTGGTTGAAAATCCGTGCGGAGTGAAGGCAAGAACCCTCACGGAACTTGGCAACTTGTCTAACTACTGGGGGTTCATGAGTGACTTCTCTTCTGTGTTTGAATTTCACTTCATAAACTGTATTAGTGTATTCTTTGTCCTCACAAGAAGACACGAATAAACATACAGATTTAGCTTCCTCTTGATTTATCGTCATTGATGTTTGCTTAGCTTCCTCTTGATTTACTATCATTGGTGTTTGCTTAGCTTCCTCTTGATTTACTATCATTGGTGTTTGCTTAGCTTCCTCTTGATTTAACTTCATTGATGTTTGCTCCCAATCCTCGGGCAATCTGAGAGAAAATAGATGTATAGAACAAGTCAAGTTAATCATTTTTCAAAGATCTACCCTGCCTAGAGAGAATATATCTAGTAGGATTTTTTTTCTTGGGTCAAAATATCTAGTAGAAACTGGTTATTATATATTTCAAACAAATTATTCAAAATGCATGCAGCAGGGAGAGAAACTAAACAAAAAAGAAAAGAAAAACAACAATGAGAATTCAGAACTGACTTTGGGTAAAAATCATCCGCCTCATGGTCAGAATTGCAGTCCTCAAACACCGCGGAAGGTGGAAGCGGCGTGGTCGTAGTTATGGCTGGACCGGGGCGTAGTAAGCCAAACTCCTGCGTTATTGATTTCGACCAATCCCACAGTTGTCCCACAGTTTTCTCGATCTGCGATACCTTGCGCAGTAGCTCATCTTGGTATGAAAAAGCCATTTGACCCGAGGTATGCTCATCAACGGCGGCCACGGAAAATTGAGATATTTCCCCCATGATATGTCCTTTGCTATTGGAATGCTTAAATTGAGGCAAGGGGGAATTTAGGGTTTGGGAATGCTGCGGCAGAAGGGGTTTTGGGGATGCCGAATGCAAAGTATGTATTTATATAATCACCTAATTAATCTTGCCCTGAAACAGGAAACTAATCCTAAACCTACTAAGAATTCTCCAGAAGAGACAAGAAAGTGTAACTTTGAGTAAGTTATTAATCTTTCCTGAACTGAAATTTCCTAATTAATCACCTAATTAATCTTTCCCGAACTGAAATTTCCTAGCGCCACTAGAGCCTTGACGGCCTTTGATTTCTTTAAATTGCGCTGCACCCATGGATGTTGAGATTAACGAAACTGATACAGCGATACTTCTCCTCTTGACGGGAAGGTCCCACGATTTTGAGTTACTTGTTGCAACATTCGAATTCTTTTGGCAATCAAGTTGGTGAGACTTTTCCTCTTAATTGGAGACGTCTGTACCTCAATGTAAATATATTATATACATATATTTATTTGCCTGACATGAACGCTCTTGCTGCAGTTCGCGAGTTTGCCAAAATAACAAAAAAGAACCCCAGTTTTGAGTGTAAATCAGGAAACCACGAAGCCAGACTTGCGTCTAATTGGAACGGTTGACGGTACCGAGGCCGCCGCTCTTCTTCTTCTTCTCAGTTTTCTTAGGATACTGCTCCTTTTTGACCTGTTGTTATAGGTTGGTAAATTTGTTGCTCATTAATTCCGTGGTTGGTGCATGGTTGTTTTCTTATTTATAAACGAGCTTTTGTTTTATTTTATTTCGTTTTTTTTTTTTTTTTTTTTTTTTTTTTTTTTTTTTTTTGGTTGTTGTTGTATCATATTTTTCTAAATACTGCTCAACTGTTTTCAAAGGATGCTGTATCTTTGAAAGGATTTTGTTTTCTTCAATTATCATTATTAAGGGTCTTGGCAATATTTTTATTTTTATGAGCACTGAAATCAATAATCTAATAATTTTGAATCTTAAATTTTCAGGAAAATGGAGGTTGATCGTGATTTAATTGACTACAATTACATTGATTGCATTAAAAAACAATGGAGCGACAATAATTTAAAATACATTGTAATGGGTTCTTGTATTAGCTTTTACAATTTTCATGTTGATTATGCTAGCGAGAAACAACATTATGATGGTCAGATTTTCTTGGAGGAAAATAAACAAGGTGGAATTAAGAAAAGATAATATTTTTTTTATTTTTAGAATTAAGAAAAGATAACATGGGTAGTTATGTTCCATAAAAATAGGACCTATTATCTGATTTGTTTTTAATTTTAAATTTTTTCATATGAAAAAAGTGAATTTATCATATTATCCTCATTTAATTAATAATTTCAATTCTTAATGTTTGAATTAACTAAGAAGATTTTATGGTATTTTAAATGTTTCACCATTCTCTGCCTTTTGCTTTATATATATAGATAAAATAACCGATAAGAGCTGGCCTACAAAGGCATTGAATGCTCGCGGGCTTTCGTTTTCTGTCTGCAACTGAGAAGTATCTCCTTACTCGAGAACTAAGGGGGACTCTTGTTTATACTATATCTGACCAAGTAACTAGAAGCAATTCTAAAATTGACCATAAAGCACCTCCTTCAACTCTACCACCAATTTCTCCTTCATTGGTAAGAAGACTGTTGCAGCATAAGAAATATAGTCTGTCATACGCGATACAAAATTGACCATAAGGCATGAGCAAAATAGCACAAATAAATTTTTTTGGCCTATTTGTTCATAATTAAGCACAAATGAGTCCAGCATAAGATAGAGATGAGATTGTGCTCTTATAGTGTCCAGCAATTTGAAACGTGATGGCTTCTATATCATCAGTTCCCATCTTAGTCCCAAACAGATTCCCAAAACCATTATAGTGTCCAGCAAACAAATCAATTCAATCAAAATGACAAGCAGGTCTTGTTAGAAACTGAATAATCCAAACATCAGATAACAAATAGAGGAGAAGCAAAAATAGAACCAGGTCACAGCTTTACCAAAAATAATCCATAAAAGATTAGCACAGCACCATAGTTTCCATCTCACTTTCGGAAGAATTAAGACAAAATTATAATAAACATAAAATTAAAATAAGGAAGTCAACAAAGACAAATTCAAATGTCTCAGACTAAGTTAATTGTAGGAAATAGGAAATATTTTATTCTAGTTGGTGGCTATCCAAGGCTTTTAAATTTTCATATTTCACAATTCCTGATATCTGATTCACAGATCATTGGCTTCTTCAAGCTGCATACATGGCTTCTGTTTCGAGCTTCATGGCATTTATTTCTTCTTATTTTGGTTGATTCATAATAGTCCAATGGGTTCGTAATCCTCGTGCTCACTGAATTATAAGAATAAGATATCTTGTTATATACAAAATGCACCAAAATTCCTAAGTACAAATTAAATGTTATTGAAAAAACACAAGAATGTGAAGGAAACTTACGGTGAGAAGCAAAAAACAAGATCGAACCATTCAGAGCCCTTGATATCCACAGAATGAACAAATGAATCTATGGTCTTGATAATATGTTTTCCTCCTTTTCCAAGACCAATTTCAAACGTGGTGATACTAACATATTGAATCCTGGGATGTGAATCGCACCAGCCAGTCTGTACATAGAAAAAGTCATGGTTTCCCAAATGAACCAAATATTGTGTCCTATCGTGAAGGCATGGCAGCAACGGACGTGCAATATCAAGGCCTTGCACTGTAAATAGTTGCCTTAGGGAATATGAAATACCATTAACATCACATTGTTCCCTCATAAAGGAGAATGCTTTAATAATTATATCCCCATATAAGGCATAGATAGTCTCATCTACAACCACAGCCCTCCCTTCAAAAAGAGGAGCACTATGAGCAGAAGTGTCAATTTTCACTCGATTCCAATCCCTTCTATCCACGTGAAAAGCAACAATACTGAAACTCCCCTCCCTCGAGCCAGACAATGAAAACAAAATAACTCCATAACAAACAGCATAACCAATCATTTGCATAGTAGGGTCATAATCATCATAAAATGGAAAAGAAGGCATTTGTTCCCAAACCTTATGATCATGATTATATCTCCCAAAGGAGTGCCCTGTAACTGGTGAGAAGGTTGACGGACATGCAAGATAATAAACCTTGCCATACGCACACACAATAGTTTCTATTGAGTTAGAGGATGGGATAGGAGGAATAGATGAACATTTGACCAACTCCTCGTGTCAACAATAAATCCACCATCTTGTCCAATGCAGTATAATTTGGAGTGGTTGAAAATCCGTGCAGCGTCAAGGCAAGAACCCTCGCGGAACTTGGCAACTTGTCTAACTACTGGGTTTTCATGAGCAATTTCTGCTTTGTGTTTGAATTTCACTTCATAGACTGTATTAGTGCATTCTCTGTCCTCACAAGAAGACACGAATAAACATACAGATCTAGCTTCCGCTTGATTTACCGTCATTGATGTTCGCTCCCAATCCTCGGGCAAGCTGAGAGAAGAGAGATGTATAGACCAAGTCAATCATTTTTCAAAGATCTACCCTGCCTAGAGAGAATATATCTTGTAGAATTTTTTTTTCTTGTGTCAAAATATCTAATAGAAACTGGTTATTATATATTTCAAGCAAATTATTCAAAATGCATGCAGGGAGAGAAACTAAACAAAAAAGAAAAACAACACCAATGAGAATTCCGAACTGACCTTGGGTCAAAATCATCAGCCTCATGGTCAGAATTGCAGTCCTCAAACATTGCAGAAGGTGGAAGCGGAGTCGTCGTTATGGCTGGACCGGGGGGTAGTAAGCGAATCTCCTGCGTTATTGATTTTGACCAATCCAACAGTTGGCTCAGAGTTTTCTGTATCTGCGAAAGCTTGCACAGTATTTCATCAGCGGCTGCCACGGAAAATTGAGATATAACCCCCATGCTATTGGAATGCTTAAATGAATTTTAGGGTTTGGGGAGGCAGAAGGGGTTTTGGGTATGATACCAGAGTTTCCAACTCGCAGAAAATGCAAAGTATGTAATTATATAATCACCTAATTAATCTTGCCTGAAACAGGAAAGTAATCATTGGCCTTCTTCTTCTTCTCAGTTTTCTTAGGATACTGCTCTTTTTTGACCAGTTGTTATAGGTTGGTCAATTTGTTGCTCATTAAGTCCGTGTGTTGTTTTTTTGTTAGAGTTATGTATCATAGTTTTTTTGTTAGGAAAGTAATCTTGGTAATATTTTTCTTTTTAATGCACCTGTTATGAGCATTAAAATCAAATAATCTAATAGTTTTGAATCTTAAATTTTCAGGAGATGGAGGTTGATCGTGATTTAATTAACTACGATTTCATCGATTATATTAAAAACCAATGGAGCGACAATAATTTAAAATACATTGTAATGGGTTCTCGTATTAGCTTTTACAATTTTCGTGTTGATTATGCTAGCGGGAAACAACTTTATGATGGTCAGCTGTTCTTGGAGGAAAATAAACACGGTGGAATACCTATGACATTTATGAATATGGATGCTGCTAGAACTAAATTAAGTGTCCAAAAAAAATTTAGGTTGAACATTAGAGTATGTAATAAAAGGATTCTCCCAATGTATACGTTTTGCAAACAAAAGGAATCATTGGGTGCCAGTGAGGCTGAAAAGAATATGGTGGAGGAGAAGTTGAATGAGAGTACTAATTTCCAAGAGTTCAGGGACACTCTGAAGATATTGATGCGAACTAAAATTACATGGCTTGAGCAAACTAATTTCCAAGAGTTCAGACATAAGTTGGAGCCGTTTTTGCTTAAAATGCTTGATTCTCGTAAGGGTAAACCATATGGTGATAGCCCATCAGAGCTTTTAAGGTTCCTACGAAACACCTATGTACATTATAGGCAATATAGTGAGAAGATGGAAGATATCCAAAAGGTGGACGCTATTTTCAGAACACACTGGGTTGGTTTTTTTATATATATGATTCATCTTATCAACTAGATTGGAAGTGGATGAGGCATGTTGTACATGAATCTTGATCATAGCTTAGAACATCAATTTGTAGAGATACTTTAATGCGTCTAATTGTTTTTTTTTCTTTTCTTTTCTGTTTTTAGGGTCTTTTGACATGATATTATATATATATATAATATAAGGCTAAATTATTGAAATGCCCCCTATAATTCAATTTCAGTGTCAGTTTCCCCTTGAAACTCTAGGCCCTATTTGGTGCATGGGAAATGAGACTTGGGGATGAGAAATCAATTGTTTTCCCATGTTTCATAAGTCCAGGCATGGGAAATCATTCCCTGGCCCATGGGAAAGTAGGGGGAAAGTGTAGTCATCCTCCTAACTTGGGTTTTATTTTCCCTCCTCATGGGTAAGTTTGGAAAAATGATCAAATATTAAACAAACATATTTCATGACCATGTTGTCCTCATTAACTATTTAGAATTACAATATATCATTAAATCCATTCTTCTTCTTTTTTTATATTTAATATGGGTATAATTGAAAATTTATACAAACTTTGTTTTCCATTCCTACTCAAAACAAACATGGGAAATGAAATAAAGTGATATTTCCCGGTTACTTTCCCAGCATTACCAAACGTGGGAAAGGAATCTTCCATTTCCCATCATTTGGGAAATTATTTCCCCTCAAATTCATTCCGTGAACCAAACGGGGCTAAGTGTCTCACTTTCCTCTATGAAACCCTATATAGTGTCTCACTTTGCCTGGATTCCATCTAGCCCTAATAGAAGTCGTCAAAACTTGCACACGTGACGCCCATGTGCCATTTTTTTGGGTTCTTCTGTCCCTATAGACGTTTGTTGAGGCTCAAAAAAATCCAAGGCTAGACAAAAAGACCCCTACAACGTTGAAGTTGCAAAAAGGTAGGACCCACAATAAATGTACAACATCGACCATATCTTCAATTAGGGTAAAATCTTCGCACAAGTTTGGATATTTTAGGCGATTTCAAAATTTGAGTAAAGCAATAGAATCTTCAACAGTGAAGGTGTAAACTGAATTTGACAATGACAGAAGCAGGAGGACCGTCAGCTTTCACAGGTAAGTGGACCTTCAGATTCTTTATTTATTTATGGCATATTGTATTTGGCTTTAAACTTTAAGGAATATTAAAAAGGGTGTTGTCTAAGTAGTGATGAGTACATTGCTTTATTAAGTTAGGCATAGATGATGCTTTTAATTTGACTTTAAGGCTTTTTACTGCTGCAAATGATTGGTTGACATAGTAAATTCAGGTTTTATGCTATATTTTGTGTTGTAGATGTGGAATTAGATTGGACAAGTGAGGAAGAAGAACAAACTAGGAGTGAGAGTGATGAGGATTTGGACGAAGACCCAGATTTTGTAGACATTACCTATGCACAAAGTGAGGAGGATGTGAGATTGTTGAGAGATAATGATAATTAGCTTCAGGGATATGTAGACCATGATGCAAATGACAGAGACCCTAATGCAGGTGAAGAGGATGATGAGTCAAATAATAACCCTGCCTCACCTAGCATGTGTACACCAGAGCACTCTTCTTTAGAGTATGAGGTTGTGATTGGAAACTGCTTGAAAAAGAGGAAGCTCCCTAACTTTAAAGACTTCATCCCATCCATTGATATGAAAAATCCTCAATTTGAACTCAGTTTAAGATTTTATAGTCTTGAAATCTTTAGGGTAGTTGTGAGGAGGCATTCTGTCCTAATTGGCAGAGAGCTTAAGTTTAAGGTGAATATGTCCACAAGGTTTGAACTCGACAGAGCTTCCCACAATGGCAATGCTTTCGTTGTCGACCCTCCATTGCAACTTCAATTCAATTGTTGAAGGAGGTCTTTAGGGTTCACAATTGTTTGCAATATGGGACCAATTTTTGCAGAGTTAATTAATACCCATAAATTCTTATATGGACAAATGAACCAAGAAAAATGGCACATGGGAGCCACGTGTGCAAGTTTGACGACTTCTGTAAGGGCTGGATGGAATCTAGGCAAAGTGAGACGCTATATGGAGTTTCATAGGAGAAAGTGAGACATTTAGAGTTTCAGAGGGGAAACTAAGACTGAAAATGAGTTACAGGGAGTATTTCAATAATTTAGCCTAAAAATAAAGCTGTATTGCTTGCAATCAAGATATAATTTTTTTTTTCAAGTGGTTTAGAACAATGCTCTCTCCAAGAAAGGTTTTGCATCCTAGCATAATACTTTTTTCAATGACAAAAAATTAGGGTGTAATTTTACAATAATGTAAAAAAATTTCAAAATTACACACAATGTCACTCCCTTTATATTTAAACAAATTTATTTGAAATGAATCAACTTATGCCGCATGTCCATCGATCCACCTCCAACCAGCCACATGTCAACAAATATATAAACATAAAGTGGGTACATGCACATTTCTTTCTCATCATATGACGCTTTACTTGAAGTGCCATCACTATAACTCATGATGGGCAATATTATGATTACGCAAGTACTTAAAAAGGAGGTCCTTTGTTGTTTTTATTTAACATTTATATATGTCACAAAGTGCCAAACCTTCCGTCATAATGGACATTTTCCTCCTCTTTCAAAATTGTTAGTTGTTGTCCACTGAAAAAAGGTTACTATCCTGAACAGTGTCTATATAAATCCAAGGATTTGATCAACATATGTTCGTACTTTGCTTGTTTTTGCTTAAGACTATAGAACAAGTGTCGGATGGACGGGGAACAATTGTAATCAATAAGACAATATCAATATCGTCTTTTGGATAATATCAATGCATAAAGCATCTTTTTTAGCTTTATCATTTGAAATGATTCATTTCTACACATATTAGAGTGTTGTTTTTAGGTAAAAAAGATAGTATAATTTACAAGGAAGGGTGATTTCTCTCACACACACACAATTATAATGTCATGGGGATTCGAACTTGAGACTCCTGATCTGCAAGTCGATACCCTGGATTACATACACATAAATAAAGGTTTATTTAACCATCTAACCAAGAGATATAATTTTATTTATTTATATCTTTTTAATATAAGTGATAATGATAAACGAGGATTCGAATACAAAATCTTAACTATACATTGCTCTTAATCACTTGAACTACAAACGGCTTGCATTTAATTTAATTTAATTCATTTATTTATTTATTAACGTTTATGACAAGGAAATCAAAACGCATCAAATGAACAAAAAAAAGAAGACGGTATAAAATGACAAAAGAAAAAACAGATTAAATGACCAAAAAAAGGAAGAAGAAGAAAGAGAACCAAAAGAAGACAAAAAATGTGAAGGGGTAAAAAGTGGAATATGACCTTTTGTGAAACAGTTGCGTTTGCAGGAAGATAATTCGAGCGCTCAGCAACGGCCCCAAACGGCCAAGACGTGTAATTAAACAAGAAAAAGAAAAGAAAAGCCCAAATCCCAAAATAATAATAATTAAAAAAACCGATAACGATAAATTGAAAGCAGAGAGAGGGTCGCTGTGCGCTGGCCTACAAAGGCTTTGAATGCTCGCTGGCTTTCGTTTTCAGTCTGCAAATCTTGTGGAGGCAAAAGCCACAAACCACAACGCTAGCTAGCCAGAGTGATGAGCCCGAGAGAGCCACATTTAAAGCCACAAACAAGCACACCCACCCACACTACTATGAGTGGGAGAGAATAGGAAAAAGGGAAAAATATAATTCGAATTTAATCGTTTAAATAAAGATCGCACAAGCTTCGGTTTCTTCGTTTCGTCTTTGCAACTCTTCGTCTTTTCTTCGTTTCTTTTTCTCTCCGATCCCTAATTCGCCCACCTTCTCCGTCTCCAATTTCTCTGGTAATGCTATTTTCTTTGTCGCGCGCGCTTTGATCGTTTCGAATTTTGTTGGATCATTTTTGTTGAATTTTCCTTTTTGATTGGGTTTTAGGGAGATTGTGTTTGGAATCCAGGAAAATGGGGTTGATTTCGGGGATTCTGATGGGGATGGTCTTCGGGATTGCATTGATGGCCGGGTGGCTTCACATGATGAGGTACCGAAGCACCAAGCGAGTCGCTAAGGTATGGTTATGGTTTTTGCTTAATTTTTTTTTAACGGTTATTTTGTTTTCGTTGGCGATTTGATTGCATTCATTCTTTGTTCTTGTTGTTGCTTACGTTGGAGAATTGAATTGTTGTGTGAAAACTGGGAGAGTAATTTTCTTGTAACTTTGGTGGAAATGGCTGAAGTAGAGTTAATTTTTGGGTGGTATGGTGCTCTGGAGATTTGCATTGTCCACTTTTGCTCTGAAATTGTTGGGAAATGGAAGTCAGATGCATAGGAAAAAGAACAACAATCTTTGACGAAATTTCTTTGAGATTGGTATATGATTTTGCTAATTAGTGGAATAAAAATGGTTGGACAACTGACTAGTGAGTTGCAAAAGTTAAACAAGTATTAGACGGAGAAGTTCGTATTGGACTGAGAAACTGATTAAGATTGAACTGCTTTTCTGAGACTTCAGCACTTTGCTTATCATTGTCTAAAGAACGACCACCACACAAAGTCGGGTAGGCATGTTCACTAGTTTTCCCTGCAAGTGGATAAGTTGAACACATATGGTTGCTTGGAAGTGGAATTATTTCTTGGGAAGAATAGCAAGTTGTCAGAGTACCAGTAGACAGATTTTTATTTTTTATTTTATAAAGGAGTACCAGGAGGCAACTTAGCGCGGGGATTGAAGGAAAAACAAATCATATATTTGGTAATGAACCTTTAACCTTGAGAGACGTAAGTTTTGTGGGGACTTCATACTGAACCTTTAACCTTTGGCATCATCTTTCTTTCCTAGTCTTAAAGGGGTAGGGTGGAGTTGGGATGGTTCAATTTTAGAATGTTATGAAGAAATTGAAATAGATCCTTCTATGCACGCATTCCTCGTAAGCCACTTATAAGCTTTGCACTTTTAACCTTCAATATGAAGATGCATTTGGAGACCAATAATTTATTTTTCTTATGTTTATGCGTGTGTGTTGTGTACATAAAACTAATTGCTTGTTTAGTCCGATGCATAAGCAGATGAATAGGTTGCTCATTTTTCAGTGATAAACCTAATATATAATCTTTTTATACTGCTATTTTCATGAAATGGGCCATTAGTAGTTGGAACTAGAGTCATCTTATTATGCTTACCTGGTCACACGATCATATTTCTCTTATTTTTATTCTCACATTCATCATACATCTGGATTGACTTCTTAATTTTTTCAGAATTATTATATTCATATTTGGTTATGGCAATTTTGGCACTGTACCCCGCATGGATTCACTTACTAAAGTTCTTCGTTTCTTTTTTCTTTTCTGCATTGGCAATAGTAGTATAGGTCTTGTAGTTGTAATACTTTAAACGTTTTATAAGAAACTTTGGACTATTTGGATGTGTTTCAGTCTTTTCTTATGAACTATTTTACCTTGTCTTAATATTTACTTCTTCCTTTTTTCCATTCGCAGGCAGTTGACATAAAACTCCTTGGATCACTAAACAGAGACGATTTGAAGAAAATATGCGGGGACAATTTTCCTGAATGGATATCTTTCCCCGTCTTTGAACAGGTTTTCTTTTTGTAAATTTATATTAAGTTACTATTCTTACTAATTATTCAGTTTTCCAATAGTACACCTTCAGTTATCATTTATAATTGTATTACTTTGGTTCACTCTTTCAGGTGAAATGGTTGAATAAGCAACTGACCAAATTGTGGCCATATGTTGCAGATGTAAGATTTTATTTGCTTTGCATATACACGTGCATAAGATTAACGGTAATGCATTTGCACGATTTTTTAAAAACACTAACCTTGCGGCTGTTGCATGTATTTATTCAGGCTGCAGAAATGGTGATAAAAGATTCTGTTGAGCCACTATTGGAAGCATACCGGCCTCCCGGAATTACTTCATTGAAGTTCAGCAAACTATCTCTTGGTACTGTGGCACCCAAAATTGAAGGTACGTAGTTATATGGTGATTACGCATAATATGGAAATTCGTTTATTTTCCAATCTTTCTAAATGAGCATTATGAATATCTTCCAAGTCTTGTGTGATTAACTTGTACAGGCATTCGTGTTCAAAGCCTCAAGAAAGGTCAAATTACAATGGACATTGATTTTCGCTGGGGTGGTGATCCAAACATCGTATTAGGTGTTGAAGCTGCACTCGTTGCCTCAATTCCCATTCAGGTCTGATTTATCAACAATTTGGATGACATACTTCTGAAGAAACTTTTCTTTGGTTTTGGACTTTTTTTTTTCAACAATAAATCTTTGTTTTCCCCCTTTTTTGCAATATCAAATCTTGGCATAAGTTTTAGTCTTATGAGTTTTGTGTTATATCTGCTACAGCTTAAGGATCTTCAAGTTTTTACTGTTGTTCGTGTTATTTTCCAACTTGCTGAAGAGATCCCTTGTGTATCTGCAGTGGTTGTTGCTCTACTTGCAGAGGTAAATTAATGATTATTTTGTGAAGTCCATACATTTGTCGAAGTGGTTAAAAGCAAACCTCATTGATGTTAGCTTGATATAAATTGTTGGCCCATTCCATAAAAACTTAACTTTTGGGGTCTTGTTGCTGGACAAAGACTTCTTTATTTCTTTCTCTTCCATGATTGATTTCTTTTTTCCTCTTCATTTTTCTATGTATGGCTTGTGTACAGTAGCACCAAGTTGGTGCTTTTCTAGTAAAGTCTTTATGCATAAAAAATGATTGATTTCTTTTTTCCTCTTCATCTAGAGATATTTGTTGAAAGTATCAGACGTTGGATGGAGAGTTTATCTATAAAGTTAAATTTTTGTTTTTCTTTGGTTTATTTTCTGATGCCTTGTTCATTGAAATGTGATTTTCTTGGAGTTTAGTCATTCCGCCTCAAAGCACATGTGTGGATGCAACATTGTTAATGGATGTCATGCTATATGGAAATTCTATATTGAAACCTTTTCATTAATTTGGTTAACAACTTTTTAAGACTCAGAAAAAGCTTTTTCACATTGACCCTTTAGTTGTAAAGCAAATCAGTTCGCACAAGTTTTGGTTAAGAGACCATTCTGATCATATTTTATTTTATTTTATTTTCTGTTCATTTGAACTCCGTCTTATACTAATATACTGATCTGAGCCATCCATCCAAGCGTAATTTGTAATTACCAATTTGGTTCATCTGTGTTGTCTTAAGTCCATTCATTATCTTATAATATGGTTGATTACAAATATTGAACGGTGATACAAGTTTATGAAGGATCGTTATGTTGGTGAATGTATGCCCCCTATCTAAAACAATGCATATATGAGAGACAGCAAGCTAGTGTTATCTCAGTATCTTTCTTTTTTCAATACCTACACTCCCGTGTTAGATTAAATGAAAAGGCAGTTAAGAAGAATGTGGAGTGAGGTGGGCTCGTAGTTCATACTCTAGCATCTTTTTTCATTTTTGCTGATCCTAGTTTAGCCTCAAGTTATCATATCTTGGAGAGAGACTGGAATGTTTTATAATTATGTAATGAACATATTTACACTTTTCCAATTCGTTTGTAAATTGACTAATTCTTGTTACATCCAATCAGCCGAAGCCTAGAATTGATTATACTCTGAAGGCTGTTGGCGGAAGCTTGACAGCCCTCCCTGGAATTTCAGATATGATTGATGTAAGTTTCATGATTTTTATTCAAAGTTATTATCTTTTGGAGTTGTTTGTACATTTCTAGACTCATTATGCTGTTCACAACACATTTGCTAGGATACTGTGGAATCAATTGTCACAGACATGCTCCAGTGGCCACATAGAATTGTTGTTCCAATCGGTGGTGTGCCTGTTGACACAAGGTAATTTTGAAATTGTTTTTGTTGTTGTGCTCTTCTTCTTAGTATACTTGTTGGTGTAACCTGATATTATCGTATCTCAGAAATTCATAAAATCTAGTTCTACACTGATGGGGGGATTTTCCCCTTTCACCTATTGACTGCAAGATAGAATGCATGAGATTGTTCAGTAGCTCTTTTAGTTATACAAGAGTGTTAGGAATTACCACTGCTCTGAAAACCGGACTTGGCTGGTCGAGTAAACTGGGTTAAACTAGAAATTGGCAGGGTTGCCAAGAACCAATCAATTTATTTGTGAGTCGATTGACCCAATCAAGAACTTGACCAATTCAATTAGAGTTTACCTTTACATTAAAAAAACTTTTGTTTATGGTCACATAGGTCTTAACCCAGGCTTTATTTGTTCTCTAATTTTAATGCACATTTCTTTCTCTCTCTCTCTCTCTCTCTCTCTCTCTCTCTCTCTCTCTCTCTCATATAATGGAAACAGTGAAAAAAAAGTAATAATTTGTTTTTGAGAAACCTAAATATTTAATATTTGGAGACAAAGTCCAATTAACATTGCAGAAACAAATTTTTTTTATCCAAAATTGCTTACTCGGCAATAAAAGTATGATATTTCAAAATCTTCTTTTTTTTTACAAGTATAAAGTATTTATAAAACACGATAAATGTTTATAATTATATTTGATCATCTACTTTAATACTAAAAAGATAATAAACATATGGATATACATATTTGTATGCTTACTGCATCATCACAGTTCAACCATTGTTGAACCTCTGACCCTTCAGCTTTCCCCTCTGGTTGATTGCCAATCCGGTTTTAGAATATCTTGGTAATCACTTTTATTTTTTACTTTAAGGGTTGTATCTATAACACTTCTTTTTTGGGGCTATGCAGCGAATTGGAGCTTAAACCTCAAGGAAAGCTCACCTTGACAGTAGTGAGAGCAAATGACTTAAAGAACATGGAAATGATTGGAAAATCTGACCCTTACGTTGTTGTCTACATTCGTCCATTATTCAAGGTTAAGACTAAGGTCATTGATAACAATCTGAATCCTGTTTGGGATCAAACGTTCGAGTTGATTGCAGAAGACAAGGAGACTCAATCACTTATTCTTGAGGTTATACCACTATCACTCATCCTTTCTTTATCGCTTGTGCCTTGATTTTTTTGCTTCTTTACTGTTTCTGAACATGGAAATTGGCTTGTATAGATCTTCTTGGATCTAGCATGTTTATAATGAATTTAAAATGTTATCGGAGTGGTGGTATTTTATGCAGCTAGACTTGTGTCGAAGAGTGCAATACTAGGTTGTATGAAATTTGTCCCAATTTCACTGTATAAATCATGAAAGTGTGCTTTAGCAAACCAAAATATATATATATATATAAATCATGAAAGTGTATTTAAGAAAACCAACATGTGTTGGCTCTCATAATTGGAGGTATACTTTGTGTATATATACTTATCTATTTTCATATGCATGGAATTGAATATCCTTGCTGATTTTAATAGTGTACATGCTTAATAGATCCACATATGAAATTCTTGAGTACATGCGTACTTGAAAGCATAAAAGTTCTGAATCATTAATCCCCACAATGGACTGCAGGCCAATTTTTGAAACCAAGATCCCTAATCAGAACTTTTCATTTTATTTAGGACTGTGGTATTGTGGATATGTTATGAGTAAACTCAAATAAATATTTTCTTAGCATGGAAATGAAAACACAGACTAATGTTCATCAAATTTTCTAACAGGTTTTTGATAAGGACATCGGGCAAGACAAGCGATTGGGAGTGACAAAATTACCTTTGATTGACCTGGAAGCAGAAACTGTGAAAGAGCTTGAACTGAGATTGCAGCCGTCACTTAACATGCTAAAAATAAAAGAAAAGAAGGATAGAGGAACTATTACAATCAAGGTAAGGGTTCAAAACATGAACCCTTCAGATGTGCTTCAATTACATTAAACCTAACTTGCCTTTCATTTGTTGTTCTTTTTTCTAATAATGCCGTTAGAGGAGGTTTCAGTTATTACTCCTTTTTCCTCTAAAGATGTTTTGAAGTATTTTGGGTTATATTTTCAGGTCTTTTACCATGAATTTAACAAGGAAGAGCAGTTGATTTCTTTAGAGGAAGAGAAGAGGATCTTAGAAGAAAGAAAGCAACTGAAAGAAGCAGGAGTTATAGGCAGCACAATGGATGCACTTGATGGAGCAGCTTCAGTGGTTGGATCTGGTGTTGGATTGGTGGGTACTGGCCTTGGTGCTGGTGCTGGGCTCGTGGGAAGTGGCGTTACCGCTGGAGCTGGGCTTGTGGGAAGTGGCGTTACTGCTGGAGCTGGGCTTGTGGGGACTGGCGTTAATTCTGGGGTTGGAATGGTCGGGAGTGGCCTCGGAGCTGTTGGTAGTGGCCTGAGCAAAGCCGGGAAGTTCATGGGTAGGACCATCACTGGGCAATCGAGTCATTCAAGGAGAAGAAGTGGGTCTACAACTCCAGTGGGTAGTGTCCAAGAAAATGGTGGTGCAAAGCCACGGTAATGTGCCTTGTGAATTGTAGGCTTTAATGAATAGATTTACTCGCCTTGCTTCTATTTCGGCACTCTTCTTAAATTCTTTTCTTTGTTCTAATTTTGAAAATGATAATAGGTATTGGTTTATTTCCACCTCTTTCCTCTGTGTATCATCCCCATCCTGTATTCTTGTTTGTCTTTCGACCTTACTGGAATTTGTAATAAAATCTTGAATATTTGTACAAATTTATCATTTGGCTGTTTGAGCAATTTAGGGCCAGCTAGGGTGAGCCCAGGTTGGTGTTCTTGAGTAAAACGAGAACAAATTATTAGGGCTTGCCTTGTTTGCTGCTGTCAAAAAATAATGCAAAGCTTTTGGCACTTTGATGTACTGTGCCTCTCACGTGATACTCACAGGACGGGAAGGGCCAAAAGTAATAATAGGTAAAATGCTGCATTAATTAATTAATTATTTTAGTTTTTAACCACCATAGCAATAAATTCACATGGACATTATTGGCAGACTGGCTGGCAGTACAGAGTACAGGTCATCTAGTCCATGACTTGCGTTAAGTGAATGGCAGTGTACAGTCCTATATATATATATATATATATACAACAGGTGGCAAACAAGGTTAGCTCTTATTTATACTGCACCTTCTTTAATCTGCTGCTCCAGCCTCGTGACCTTGTTGTACAGCCCTACTATCAAGTCCTCATGAATGTGTTTAATTTTAACCAGAATTACATAAAAATACAAACACTCGGCAAACATTTGTACCCAAATGCCCAATAAGCTTTTAGCTGTTTACTTACCAAAATCAGGAATAGTTCTTGGGTGAGGCTGCCTCATATATATACCTTTCTGTCTACGTCAACAACGTGGTCTTATGTTACCTTCGAAAGCATCAACTCGTGTGCCTACAGTTACGACATACCTACACAAGAATTAGGGTAATTCAAACATGTGGATTTTAGTGTAGGAATAACTACTCTTAATCACTTAAAAACTTTCCGACGGCATTCGTAAAACATTATAAAAAATAAAATAAAAAACAATATTAGAATATCTTGAAAAATCCTGAAGAGAATATATTCACGTTGAAGTGTGAAATAAAAATATCATAAGTTCCTTCCTTGATATAAGGTCCCGAATTCTTGAACATAACGGTTTTAAAAGCCAACAATTAGTCCTATATCTAAATTCTAAAATATAATAAAAATCTCAAAAGACCCCCACTAATTTAATAATTAGTTTATAATAATATTGTTTTGTTTGAGATCATCATCACCCCACAAACGGCGTCGTCGGAACCACAGTGGTCTGGGAAATATCGCTGTCTTTCTCTCACGGGGGGGTCAGGCACCCCCGGCAAGCGTGGGTTCGACTTTTCTGAGAAAATATAAAATAATGAATAATCTGACCGTATAAATAAATGTGTGGGGCTCACTCGATCTCAGTCTCTCGCTCGTCACTCCCTGCATCAACTTTATGCTTTGTTTTTCTTTTGACCTCTTCCTCTATATCGTAAGCTGCAAAGTCTACGGTCAGATTCCCTTTACGAAGTTGCGAAAGTCAAAATCATAATTACTAAATTACCCCCGGATATTTTTTTCAGATTTTTTTTATTTGAAAATATAAACGATATTCGAAACTACAAAATAAAGTGGTTTCTCACACATGCTACCGAGGTGTTATGGGAATTCATACATAAAACTACTGATTTACAAATCAAGGTCTTTTTCTACTAATCATACCTGTTGGCCCATATTTTTAAATAGCCTAACGTTGATATTTGTTAACGTAGAGACTAAGAACTAGAACGAAAAAAAGGAAGCCCTAGTATTTACAAAGAAAAACCAGTCATTTCCAACCCCTCCTTTTTTTTTTCTTTTTTTTTTTGGCATTTCTCATGTGAGGGCGTTGAGGAAGGAGAACAAAAAAACTGGTTTAGTCTAATAGTATTGAAAATAATAATTATGTGCGTGACGAGTCATTATCTACTAATGTGTTTGAGTGTAGTGCGTCTTACACATGTTTAACAACTTACGAAAACTCCAATGTCCTTTGACTAATTTTGTAAACTTTTATTCGAAGTAATCAACCAATAAAATAATTAGGTTAACCTTTTTCTACTCTTTAAGTTACTTGTTCTAGACTTTGAAGATTATAACGAGGACTAACTACACTTATAAAATTAGAGTTTCACGGTTTTTTTTTTCTTTATTTTGTCAAATTCAAAGGACCAAAAAGGGCCTATCACAAAAGGTAAGGCAGCAGTTGAAGCAGATGCAGCTCGCAGACCCTTTTCAAGACAAAGTCTAAGCCTATATTCACAGGACCACCTGAGCTCGCACACAAACAACAACAGCAGACATACACTCTACTCTATACTTGAATATAAAAATAAAAATTCCCAATACATTTTTTTTCTTCTTTGTTTGACTATGTTTTTACTTTGGTCTCCGTCGTTTCAATTTTGACGATTTAATCTTATACTTTTGTTTATACCATAATCAAGTCCGGAAAATGTAGAATTGTTAAAAGAAAAGAATATATAGACAAATTGATTACGTTTTGGGTTGAATGCAACGATTTTGGCGATGTATTATCGTATTGAATTTACATGTGATGGTTACATATAATCGTATCGAATTTACATATATTAATATGATAAAATTTACCATTTGAATTTGATTACAAGACAAATTGAAATATAAAACTCAATTTACCAAAATCAAAATGACAGAACCCAATTTAATAAGCGAGTAAAATTAGGGTGAAAAAATATGTAACCCAACTTAAAAGGTACCGACCTCTCAAACTCAGATAACAACAAAACGAAGCTAAAACAGAGCACACTGCCACAACCACTCGCTTCCCCCAGCGCGTTAGATCCGTCTTCCCACTAGTGGCCCACAACCCACGTGGCTGACCAAAGGTAGCGCGTAAGATAACAGTAACAACCAGAAAACTACCTATCCTCCAGACTATCACAGTCATCCCTCGGACAGCTGTAAACGAAAAATGACCACCCAATAGAAAACAAGCCCGTGGAAAAGTATCAAGCTTATTGGACCGTCGGGGTATATAATCACAGCCATTTCCGTTCTTAATTTCTCTTACCTTTCATTTTCAGTGGACTATCCATACTTGAAGCCTACTCTCGAACAAACTCCACACTCAAAATGACTGGTTTAACTAACTAAAACGCCCCTCCACTTCCCTCTTATTTACAACCATGCCATCGCGTCCTCCACCATCTTCCCCACCCATCCACCACGTCCACCACCGCCACCTCCTCCTCCCTCTGCTGACCGTAACCCTAACCCTAGCCTTTATCTCCCTACTCACCTTCCTCATCTTCCTCTACCGCAAGCTCTCCTACAACCGCACGACGCCGTTCGACCACCACAATAGCAGCGCCACCGCCACACCCACCGCCACACCCACCGCCACTCCCACCACCGCCACCAACACCAAGAAGAATAACAACAACCGTTTTTCTTACTCTGCTATCCGGCGAGCCACCGGTTCGTTCTCGGCGTCGAACCGTCTCGGCCATGGCGGGTTTGGGTCGGTCTACAAAGCCACACTCCCCTCCGGCCAATCCCTGGCCGTGAAGCTCATGGACTCCACTGGCTCTCTGCAAGGCGAACGGGAGTTCCACAATGAACTCTCCATAGCTTTGAACCTCACTAATCCTCACATACTCTCTCTCCACGGCTTCTCCACCGACCGACGCGGACGGAAGCTCTTGTTGGTGTACGAGCTCATGCCGAATAGGAGCCTGCAGGAGGCTCTATTAGATCGCCAGTGTCCGGAGCTCATGGTTTGGAAGAAGAGGTTCAGTGTAGTGCTCGATGTGGCTCGTGGGCTCGAGTATTTGCACCATGTTTGTGATCCGCCGGTGATTCACGGGGATGTGAAGCCCAGTAATGTGTTGCTGGACTCGGATTTCAACGCCAAGATTGGGGATTTTGGGTTGGCGAGGTTAAAGACGGAGACTGAAGATCAGGGTGAGCTTGGTGGAGTTGTGATGGTGGAGGAAGAGGGGGAGGAGGAGGGGGAGGAGAAAGAGATTGGGGGAAAGGAGAAGAGAGACGGGGACGATAATGGGTCGATTTTGGAAGAGGAGAGTGTCAGTGTTAGTGTGAGTTTGAGTGTTGTGACAACTGGGCTTGAAGATGGTCGATCCCCGGAGTGTTATGCGGTGAGGATTGGGGAATCGGAGCCGGCGGTCGCCTCGCCGGAAGGCGGTTTTGATAAGGCGAGTGTTGAGAGTGAGAAGGATTTGGGTTTTGGGAAGAGGGTTAGGGGAAGTTCAGGCAGGGACTGGTGGTGGAAACAGGACAATGGAAGTGGATTCGGGTCTGAATCTGGGAGAGTCAAGGACTATGTGATGGAGTGGATTGGGAATGAGATTAAGAAGGAGAGGCCTAAAAGTGAGTGGATTGCGTCTCCTAGCTCGAATGGTGTCAATGCCGAGCCGAAGAAGAAGAAGAAGGGATTGGACTGGTGGGCGTCATTGGATGAAGAGAGTGGTAAGAAGAAGAAGGATAAGAATCGGAAGCCGAGGGAGTGGTGGAAGGAGGAGTTTTGTGAGGAGCTCACAAAGAAAAAGAAGAAGAAGAGGGGTCTCGATTCCGCTAGTGGTGGTGGAGAGTTGTGGTGGCAAATGGAAGAGGATTTGGGGCAAGAGAGGAAGAAGAGGAAGAGCAAAAACAAGAGCAGTAGAGGGAGTATTGATTGGTGGTTGGATGGATTGGGTGGTGATATTAGAAGTGGGAGGAGGAATAGCCAAGATTGGGGTAGTACTTGTGGTGGTGATGTTCCAAAGAGTGGTGGTATTAGTAGCACACCAAGCATGAGAGGCACAGTTTGTTATGTTGCCCCTGAATATGGTGGCGGTGGGCAGCTCTCTGAGAAATGTGATGTCTATAGCTTTGGGGTATTGGTTTTGGTCTTGATTTCAGGTCGGAGGCCTCTTCAAGTCACGGCCTCCCCCATGTCAGAATTCGAAAGGGCCAATCTAATTTCATGGGCTAGGCAGCTTGCTCGAAATGGGAAGCTTTTGGATCTTGTCGACCAGTCTATACATTCTTTAGATAAGGAAGAGGCATTGCTTTGTATCACAATTGCATTGCTATGTCTGCAGAGAACACCGGGCAAGCGGCCAACGATGAAGGAGATTGTGGGGATGCTTTTGGGTGAAGCAGAGCCACCTCATTTGCCCTTCGAGTTTTCGCCGTCCCCGCCTTCCAATTTTCCGTTCAAGTCCCGGAAAAAGGCCCGGTGAGTTTGTGGGATTTTGTTAACTGTAGAGTGTACTTTTGTAGGTCCTTTCTAATTATCATGTTTTGTAGAAATTCATGCTTTAAAGGAAAGAAAAGTTGCATAATATTCATAAACTCGGGCCCTTTTTTACTTAGCTCTTTGGATGTTACCAAGTTTTGCAATAGAAAGAAGGCAACCCAAGTATTTTTTTTGCTCTGTTGACATTTAGGAATTCCATGATTCATAGTAAAAGTAAATAGAGAAATGGAAACATTGCTTTTGCTTTTGAACGTTGAGGCCAGTAGTAGTACTAGTAGGCCATCATAATCAGCAATTTTTCCTCCTGGGACTCAATTGAGCAGAGCTTGCTTTATGTGACTTTTAGGACCTGAAACAGGGCCCGAGATGATGCTTCCCTTTTGAGTTGTCTGCTACCTTTTAAAAGAGGCAGAATTTTGTGCCAAAGTAGCATCAGTTCAAGTAACAAGGGGACAAATCTTGGTCCCATTTACGAAAGCCATTATACTTCTCCGACTCAGTCTTTGTGTGTGTGTGTGTGTGTGTGTGTGTGTCATTGTATGTGTAATGTTTGAGGCAGGGCAGGGCAGCGCCATTGAGTTTGGTTAGTTGACCATCTTTTCCATCACTCTTCTGTTGCTTTTAGATCATGGCAAAAGCTGTTTAGCAAATCTAGTGATAATTTTTTTAGCCTGGATGGGATGCTGAAGTCTTTATAGTTTATGCACATCAAACTATAATTTTATGGTTTCTGAATTTTGGCTCCTGTTGAACGAGAAACACTTGTGTGAATCGTTGCTATTACTAGCAAATTGCGACATGCCACACTTAACTTTTCCATGTGGCAGTCTGTGATTGATTGGAGATAGCAAAACAGTTCAATCTGCTTTTGAACTAGTGGCAACAGTGGGTTTTAACTTTCCACATGTGGTCCTTCGTGTACTTCTGAACAGAATGAGATTCTACTCTGTCAGTGACAGCTTTGGTGACGAATACAGCTTAACTTTATGGCATTTCTGTGACTCTGAGAGAGAAGAGAGAGAGAGAGAGAGAGAGAGAGAGTTCAAAAGTTGATTTATGTTGGCACTGGTTTTTATCGACCGAGAAGTTTGAAATGATCACCATTTTTGTGAGCTTGTGTGGAGAGTGGAGACATGGCGTTGTGTCTTGTATCGGGGGATCTTTATGAATTTTGCCCATTGCCTACCGTTTTGTGCAGTTAACGGTTGTGATGCTATAAATTGGAAATTCAAAGTGGTGGTGTTGCACCAATTACCCTTTAATATTATTAGGGAGTTTCACTAAAACACCCAAAATGGGGGTTGAAATTATAAAAAAACCCAAGCACTATTTAAACATATAAACACACCCAAAACTCATCATTACACACACTCAAAACCCATTTATAAACACACCCAAAAAGTTGACTTTATGGTTGATTTTGGGTGTGTTTCTATGTTTAAATAGTGCTTGAGTTTTTTTATAAATACATGTCTAGAATTGGGTTTATTTATAAATTTGTAATATTATTAATGGGAATTTGCATCTTCTCATGCACAGCGGTTGACCCTGCCCTGCCGTTATTATGGTTTCTGTGTAGACACGAGAAAATTCAACCCTTATTTGGCCTGTCCAGTTGGAACGAAGTGAGTAGCTGGGTATTAACATAAACAATAAATAGGCCGAATTAGTGTCAAACACCGAATAGCCTGATTTTAACACGATAAATAAACCCGTTTAATTAATATTACATGAAAGGAAATAATTTATTCTTCACGTTTCTTTTTTTTCTTTTTTCTTTTTAAAAAAGTTGATTTCATTCCATTAGTATTCTTCACGTTTCTTATTTAGAATAATTGCATGAATCCTTGTAAAATTATATAATTTTTCTTTTTATGATACAAGTGATATTAAGGGAGGGAGAATCGAATCTAAGATCTCAGGTGCATGAATAAAATGTTTTTAGCTACTTGAGTTACAAGTCGCTTGCGTAAAATTATAGAATTATTTCCACTGTGCGCATGTTCCCATTATATTTTGGACTTGGGATGAGGAGGTTCATTATATTTTTGCATCTGATAATGGGTATTAATTTTCGAGAGCTTCTACAATGAGGAGTTCAGAGTGAGGTGCTTATTTGAAGGGTTCAATCCCACCATCAAACCATTTAAAATGTTTAATTTCCTTACATTTGTGGATGGTGGAATTGAACTCCTTAAATAACCTCTTCATTCTAAATTCTTCATTATAACATTTTCGAGGTCCGCCGGTTGATGGGCAGTATGGCGAGTGGCCGGGTACCCTTGGGCTTCATCCATCTAGTCAAACGTTTCTCAATGGTATTGTTTTGGTAGTCCAAGCCCCGAAACGTAAAGAAGAAGAGAACACTTAGCTGAGACAAGCCAGGCCTAGCAAAGGAGGGCACCAATTTCTCAATCGTTTTTTGGGCTGCATGACAAAAGATAAGATCTCCTATTTGCCAAATCACCTGTTATCATCTGAATTTGCCAAAAGTCCAAATCTGTTGCTTTTACTTCGGTTTTGTTCTGGTCTTCTGGGTTTTTTTTTAATATTATTTTTTTTATTTTTAAATGCTGTTGACTCATGTCTAAATTACATTTGGTAACAACTCCAAGTTTGATTTGGTTCTTAATCACTGGTTTTAAGGCTCAATCAATCACTAATTCTTATTTCAGGTTCACTCTCACGTAATAATCTCAATGCCTGCATGATTCTCAGGATCATCCAGTGGTTCTCAATACATCATCCTCCGCAAAACAATGGTTCTCTGATTTTGACCCGGCACACACAGACACTCGTAATTAAATTTAAATCAATGCCTTCTTTTCTGGGTGAGGTATCGAGTTGTATCTGTCTCTGTCAATAATTGAATTTCCGGCAACAAAAATAAGTGCTTCTTCCTTCTGGCATGCTTTGGTCATAGTCATATCCTTTAATTCCCTCATCTGCCCGCTAACTCCTCACCCATTTTCTTCCACAAGTAACACTCTCTTTCTCACAGACATAAATACAAACACTTCACAGGCATCCACACATTCCAAGCTACACACAGACAGCCATGGCGGATAAGCCTTCACAAACCCCAACATCCAACGACGACCCCTACAAGCTCCTCAACATAGTCAAAAACCCAGACGGCTCCCTCACCCGCCACCCCCCATTCCCCATGGTCCCCCCATCTCCGACTCCAACTGATTCCATTTCCTCCACCGCCGCAGCCACCGAGTCAAACTCACCCCAACTCGTTCTCTCCAAGGACATCCAAATAAACCCAACAACTAAAAACTCCGTAAGGCTCTTCAAGCCCCACCCTCTTCCCCCAAACTCTAAGCTCCCTCTCATCTTCTACTTCCATGGCGGCGGCTTCATCCTCTTCTCCGTGGCTTTACAACCTTTCCACGACTCCTGCTCTCGCATGGCGCTCTCTCTCCCGGCCCTCGTCGTCTCCGTCGAGTACCGCCTGGCTCCCGAGCACCCTCTCCCCTCCGCCTACGACGACGCCGTTGAGGCCGTCGACTGGGCCCGCAGCCAGGCCTCCAACATCAACGGCTGCGATCCCTGGTTGAAGGACACCGTTGATTTCTCCAAGTGCTTCCTAATGGGCAGCAGCGCTGGGGCTAATATCGTCTACCACGCGGGTCTACGCGTCGCGGGCGTTGATCTCTCTCCAGTGAAGATCCAAGGGCTGATATTCAACCAGCCTTATTTCGGTGGGGTCGAGAGGACTCAGTCCGAGTTAAGGCTGATCAACGATCGGATTTTACCGTTGGTTTCTAATGATTTGATGTGGGCCCTGTCATTGCCGAAGGGAGCTGATCGGAATCATGAATATAGCAATCCGACGGTAGGGGGCGGTGATGAGAGGATCGGACGGTTACCAAATTGTGTAGTGAGAGGGTTCGGTGGGGACCCACTGGTGGATAGGCAGAAGGAGTTTGCGAAGTTGTTGGAGTCACGTGGGGCGCACGTGGTGGCCAAGTTTGAGGAGGATGGTTTTCATGGCGTGGAGCTCTTTGATCCCACCAAGGCTAAGGCTCTGTACGACATTATTAAGGATTTTGTCCAGCCTTGCGGTGCAAACGACAGTAAAGCTGTTGGCGTTTCGAAATCGGCTATCTGAAAGAAGCTGAGTTGGATTTTACATTTTATTATAAATATTTGTATGAATTAATTGGGTGTAATTTATTCCCTTTTGTCTTGTTCTGACACTGTGAATTATATGAGCACTAATTTTTATGTCATAGTTCAAGCATTTTGGGCATGTTATTAGAAATAAAATGGAGTGAATGCAAGATTTCCAAAACTTGAAAGAAAATGGTTGTTAGGACTTGAGCTACAAGCGATTCGGAGAAGGGGTTTACAACACAAATATTCATCGGGTGAAAAGTAACAATTCTACAAGAACAAAAATAAAATAGATATAAAAAAGGTATTTCCTAATAATATTAAGTTGAAGTTGAAGTTGAAGTTGATGTTGATGTTGGAGCAGACTGTATAGATATTGATGTTGAAGTTGATTGTATCCGTTTCGCAGATCTACCAAATTAAGATATCCACCGATGATGGTTGTGGGTTGGACGGTCCTAAAGTGGTAGTCGTGCAATCTTCATCATACCAACAATTAATATCTCTGCACGTATATGACTGAATTAATTACAATATAATGATTTAGTTTGATTCGATTTTCATAAAAATCATGAAGAAAATCGAACCAAACTAAACCAAGTTAAGACAGTTTGATTCGGCCAATTTGGGATTAAACCCAATTCTTTTTCTTTTTGCATTTTTTTCAATATTGTTAGCTCAATTCAACTAATATAAATTCACAACTTGCTTCATACTTAAATCATTTTCTAGAGTATGAAACCATCCTAAAGCTCAACATGCCATAAAACTTCAAATTTTTATTATTAATATAGTTCAATTCAAATATTCATATATAGTTATTACCTAATTAGAGTATTACACATGTAAAATATAATATAAATAATAAATATACACATAAATGATATGTTTTGGTTTAAGTCAGTTTATAAAAGTTCAAAATCAAATCAAGTCAAACAAACCATATCTAGTCCGGTTTGGTTTTTAAACCGTTTAACTTTTTCTATATCAAAATTTAATCAAACCAAACTATAATACAGTCCAAGTTGGTTTTAAATCGTTTGACAATTTTTTTTTTTAATCAAAACCAAACCAAACTGATAATTACTATTTGATTCCCCCAGATTGATGCCACCCCTATTCATGAGGTTGCAATTGTCGATCATGCACATCCAGCTTTACTATTAATTAATTAGTTGATGAGCTTTTGTTGTTTCTTTCTAATTTCTTTCCTTTATCATTTCTCTTCCTGCTTTTTTATTCTGATTGTCTCCAAGAGTTGAGTTGAACATTATTGTGTTGTCCAATAAGAAAAGCAAAAGGAAAAAAAAAAATCAAAGTTCCGTTGTCTCCAAGATATGACTCCTTATGTTCCCACAAAGCCCCTGCAAGCTCCTTTGAATCCAGTTTCTTCTTTTCCTAAAACAGACTCTACACAAGCCCATATTAGTTCTTCTGAAGCTGTACTCAAAACTAAGTCATGCATCCAGTTTCTTCTTTTCCTAAAGTTCATAGATCATCCCCACTTTCAACATGCGCTTGTGAGGAATATCCAACACTTTCTCACTCTGCCTCAAATTAGTCTTCAAGAAACTGTAAGCATAGTCAATCTCAATCACAATTCTTTTAACCATACCTGCTCATTTCTCAGCTGCCACTTCAGTTTCCCCAATTAAGTGAACAACTTGCCTCACATCCTGATTGCCATTCTCATCCTTAACCAATCCGTCATCGGATTCCCCCTCCTTGATGTCAAATTACTTCTTCTCTCCACTAGTGCAATGATGTGCATTGTTCTCTAAGATATCCAAATCAGCATGTGCACAATTACCTATCCGACTCTCATGCATGTGCATGAAGCTTACTTGGTATGGACTTGTAGAAGGTATCAGTAACAAGATGTTGATGCTTGTGAAGAAACGAGGCTTGTCCAGTGTACTACGCCAATACAAGAGTTGGATAGGTAATTACACACATGCTTATTTGGATATCTTGGAGAACTATGCACAGCACTGCACTAGTGGAGAGAAGAAGTAATTTGACATCAAGGAGGGGGAATCCGATGACGGGTTGGTTAAGGATGAGAATGGCAATCAGGATGTGGGGCAAGTTGACGATCGAGATACAACAAGAACTATTAGACAGAGAGCTTGAAGTAATAAACAAAGCATACAGTTGTGGGGTTGTTCACTTAATTTTGGAAGTGTGGCAGCTGAGAAAGAAGCTGGTATGGTTAAAAGAACTGTGATTGAGATTGACTATGCTTACAGTTTCTTGAAGAGCAATTTGAGGCAGAATGAGAAAGTGTTTGATATTCCTTACAAGCGTATATTGAAAGTGGGGATGATCTATGAGCTTTAGAAAAGAAGAAACTGGATACATGGCTTAGTTTGATTACAGCTTCAGAAGTAATATGGGCAGAGTCTTTGTGGGAACACAAGGAGTCATATATCTTGGCAACTTTTGGCATGAAAGTTTCTTTGCTTTGAGTTCCTGATTCTGATGAGAAACTTGTTGATGGTCATGATCTTGGCTTCCCTGAGGATCTGTGAAGAAGATATAAGATTAGAAATCTGGGGGTGCATCGTTAATGTATTGTAGTACTTGAATTTGGGAGATGTGAGGACATATAGACTCATGTCATATTTAAAGGAAGGTCGAAGCAAGGGAAAGGCTATCCCACAACAACTCATACGTACTCTTGTTACCCGTATACAGAGAGAGAAGCTAGATGGAGACTTGTAACAGATAGAGAAGATGTTTGTTAGGTTAGGTCGATGAAAATGACATATCTATCGAGTACCATCTACCATGCCATGTAAGCGCAGGAGATCTTATCTTACGTAGCAAAAGACTGGAAAAAACAATCGGCTATGCACATCTTTTGTTTCTTCTTAAATCCCAATGACAACTCCTTAATCATCAATTAATTCTACAGACACAGTTTCTGTCTTGTTCTGAGTATGATTAGTCGGTTGGACATTCCTAAAAACTCAATTCAATCATCATACCAACAATACATTTCTGCAAGTATTAATCGGTTGCAATTGTCCGTCGCCAAGTATTAATTGGTTGCTTGATTTGTACAATGAAATAAGGACTTTTTACCTTCACATTCTCACAAAAAGATAGTCGTGAGTGAGAGGCGTCAAGCACGAGCTCGTGGGGATAATTAATTCCACAAGTTTAGCCGGATTAACAATCCACCTAATTTGGGCTTTGACCGAATTACACACAATCCGGTCCAACTTCAATTTGGGCCTCCAAAGACCAGATTGGATTCAGAATCCTAATCCAACTAATTTATCCGGCCCACCAAACGGGCCCTTCATATACACAACAGTTGATTTTTGTTATACAATAATGGCCTCTTACGATACTTTATATTCCATAAGAGCAAGAATCTAAAGTTCATTTGACTCATTTGGTGTGAAAACGATTCGGATGCATACAAGATTTTGGGTTTGTGAGAGCTTAAACAATCTTTTATAATCTCTTTTAATGTTAATGAAAATTTCATTAGTTTAGGAAGGGGAAAATCGTGGAGGGAGCTCGGATGGGGAGAAAAGCATAAGGAAGAGAGAGAGAGAGAGAGAGAGAGGAATGGTGGTTAAAGTGAGTCGTGGTGTACGTCAGTGGCGGACTCAGACTTTCATTCATTTGGGGGCTTCAAAAAAATCCAACAGATATATAGCTAAACAAAAAATATTTCTAACTCAGTATATTAATAGCATTGTCCAATAAGTAAATTTACAATTGTCCTCAACGACTTTTCATATTCTGAAAACATTGCATAATAAGCTCATTATCAATACTATTAAATATGTCTTTTTCAAGATATACTACCAAGCAATCATTCATTATGTGAGTGCTTATGGAAAACATTTTCAATTAATATGTTGTTTTTCATTCATTAATGCTTGACTTGTTTTCAGAGCTTGGTTATGGGAACTGTTGGGACCTCCAACATGAACTTGAAATCTTTCCTTTTTCTTCCAATTCGAAAAACTTGTACCAACAAATGAGTCACCTCAAGCTTTCTCTCCCAAATTTGTTTTAAAAATATAACAACCTAAGCAAAATGCATCATCTTCTTTGATGCTATATTCCAACCAATAAGGGAATTCATCAAACCATGCTGGGTTGAATTGTCTTGACTCTTTTCTAATTTTTGTTTATAGGAAAATCATGATTTCTAGGCTAACAAGGCCTTTTTGTAAGTAAGCTCTTCTAATTTCATCTCGAATATTCAGATTATAATCTAAAATCCGAGTTCGTAAACCAGAATCAGAATGAAGATATGACATATTGATTGACTTTGCTTTGAACTATCATCACTTCTCCCAATAGGTTGTGACAATTCCAACTCGGATTTTCTTTTAAAATCTTTTTTCCATAACTGTCATAAATAGTTCTCCACCAAATTACAAAATGAGTGAATTTGGTGGGATCTCCATTCTTCTTTTATAACATAGGGTTTTTCTTTTTTAATATAAGCTTTGGGCTTAAAGTGTATGTATTGGATGGGCCATGTGGGGGGCTCCACCTAAGAAGGACCAACAAATAATTATAAAAAAAAAGTGAGTTTGGGTGGGATTATATGGCTGAAATGTTTATGTAAGTGTGGGCAAGTGCCCACAGTTGTCCTTCATTAGGTCTGCCAATGGTGTACGTGTGATGACTAAGTAAAAAGTTAGAATGACTATAACCATAACCTAGTGGAAAATGGCCTTAATTTGCAGAACATAGGTCTCAGGTTCGAATCCCCTTGATATCATAGTTGTGTGTGTATGAGAGAGAAATCTCCCTCCCATGTACTTTAAATTATCTCTTATATTAAAAAAAACATAAGTTAGAATGACTTAAATAAAATAGATTGTATTTGTAACACCACGTGATGATATGATGATTTCCAAAAAATAAAGTTACTAAAAATTACATTAAATTTAAATTTAATACATATTCGAACGAAAATTGATTGTGTTGTGAGTATATTTCTAAGAAGATATGCTAAAAAGATTTCAAAATTTAGTGCCCATGAGAGTGAGAATGGAGTGAGGATGGGAGGGGAGGAGAAACAAAAGTGAAAACAAAAACTTGAAAGTAAAAACAATTTCAAATAGATTTTAGTTTTTAGTTTCAGTTTTCATTTTTGTTACTCCTTTCCTATCCTCATTTCTCATATTCCCTCTCAATCTCATCTCCACTCTCATTCTTACTTTCATTCTCTTGTCTCTATACTCTACTCTAATACAAAAAATGAAATGATTATCAAAAGGCCCTACGTTCTCATTCACAAATAATCACCTAAAAATTAGATGATAAACTCCTTAACAATGTTAATTCAAATAGATTTTAGTTTTTAGTTTCAGTTTTCATTTTTGTTACTCCTCTCCTATCCTTCTTTCTCATCTTCCCTCTCAATCCCATCTCCACTCTCATTCTCACTTCCGTTCTCTTTTTTCTCTATGCTCTACTCTAATACAAAAAATAAAATGATTATCAAACGGCCTACATTCTCATTCACAAATAATCACCTAAAAATTAGATGATAAACTCCTTAACAATGTTCAAAACGGCAGCGGCCCGCCTGGAGTCAACAAAGTCAACGTTATGGAACCCAAGATCATCAAACCGCGCATCAACCTTGACCCCACAAGCCACCAGCATCGTCACAAACTCCTGCTGCCGATCGATCATGGGGTCCCCACCAAACCCAATCACCAAACACCGTCCCAGCCGTTTGATCAAATCTTTGTGCACTTCGTCCGCCATCGGATTACAATACCGATGGTTCCTGTCCGTCGCCTTCGGCAAAGCCAGGTCCCACATGAGATCCAGCACAGGCAACGGAAGCAACTGGTCCGTAGCGAATCGCAGCTCCGAATTAGTCCTCTGCACCCCACCGAACATGGGCTGGTTCATAATAATCCCGGAGATCTTCAGAGGCTCGAGCTGGAGCTGGTACGCTTTCAACCCGGAGAAAAAGACGATATTGCCCCCGCAGCCGCAGCCGTACAAGTAGCACCTGGACACGTCGGCGTAGTCTCGGATCCAGTTCTCGCCCTTCGGGTCCTGGGCCTGGGCCCGGACCCAATGGATTGCGTCGAGGGCGTCGCGGTGCTGGGCCGGGAGCCGGCTCTCGGGCGCGAGGCGGTAGTTGACGGAGACGATGATGGCGGGAACCTCGGAGGTGATCTGAGAGCAGTTGGTGTGGGCGGCGGCGTCGGCAGCGGAGAGGAGGATCCAGCCGCCGTGGTGGAAGTAGATGATGATGGGTAGCCGAGCCACGGTGTTGTCGTTTGACGGGAGTTTGGTGGGTCGGAAGATTCGGGCCCAGGTTCGGGTTTCCGGGTTGAGCGTGACGTCCTTGGAAACGACCGGGTCTCCCGGGGTGGGGTCCGTGTTGGTGGGCGTCGTGGGGGTGGTGGCGGGGCGGGTCAGGGTGTCTGTGGCGGGGTCGTGGGATATGTTGAGGTGGGTGTACGGGTCGAATTTGGACATTTTGGTAAATTGGTACGTATGTACGTGGTTAGCTAGCTGAAACCAGAAGCACAAAGAATGGCTTCCATTTTTATAAAAATTTGTTGGGTTGTTTTTCAGTGGGATTTTGAATTTTGAATGCAGCAACTGAGTTGATAAATTTTGTGAGTTTGAGTATTCTGTTTTATCCGAAATGTAGGAGGGTTTGTCGCATTGTCACCGTGATATTTGGGTAGCAAAGTTTATACTTGTTGAATGTTTCCATGGGATGGGGTTATTAGGTGATACCTGACTCGTAGGAAATACAGTTTTCTTTGGGATTTTAAATTTGGTTTTCATGAGTAATTTTTCCACAGTCGATGTTATTAATTTCCTCGGTTTATAATTTGTGTATAATAAAACACATATGATTATAATATCGTCACGCTAAATAATTTCTCAGTTTTTAGGGCTAAAGAAAACCTCTTGAATTTTGAAACTAATGATTTATGGCACTGTCATACCAAACGCGAACCAGAAACTATATTTTATCTCATCAAACAATCAAACCCATTTGAGACAAGGTATTTTAAATGATTTGCTATGTATTTATGGGAAGCTTTTGTTGTTTTTATTTCGTATTTGATAAGTTCTTGCATGAACCCGAAGTTCCTAAAGAGGTCTTTGCATTGGATGATGCTGGTACTGTCGACAACCCTCACCAGAATGTTTCATGGCTTTGTGTGAACTAGTTGCAGGGAATTTCGAAGCCTTCTTATCAAATAAACCGTTGCTTTCACAGGCTAATTAAATCGATTTCAATTTGCTGTGCATTGACTGCTGATACCGACCACATGATCAACAAGAAAGTCTTGTTAGCGCTGGGAAGAGATGGCGTGATTGTAAACATAGGACGCGGAGCTATCATCGATGAGAAGGAAATGGTGCGGTGTTTGGTGAAAGGAGAGATTGGAGGTGCTGGTTTGGATGTGTTTGAGGATGAGCCTGAAGTTCCTCAAGAGCTCTTTGCACTGTCGCCACGTTATGCTACCTACACACCAGAATGTTTCATGGCTTTGTGTGAACTAGTAGCAGGGAATTTCGAAGCATTCTTCTCAAATAAACCGTTGCTTTCACCGGCTGTGGATAATTAAATCGATTTCTATTTGCAGGTTAGTGTCTCCGTGACTTTTTGCATCATCTTGCATGCCATTTTGGTTTGTTTCCCTTGGGAATGGTTCATACAGAAACCACTTGCAATGGAGCTTCAGCCATTTCTGTTCTAATCTTTCTTCTGGTAAGGTTCGTGCACTTTTATGAATCGATGCAGGCGACCAAATATTGATGCGATGAATGGGGCTATTAGAGAAGACTAGGATGAAGAAATGAGGTGTTATATCGTTACGGGTATATATTTGAGAGTTGTATGATTTGCATGAAGCAGACGGTATGGATTTGCTTGCTTGCCAAATATAATGATTAACTCAAGAGGATGCTTGTTTATATAAATGCTTTTTGTCCAGCTTCCTTGAGCATTTTGAACGTAAGTTCTATGCTCCCGTTGCATGTCTCCCTTTTTATTTCTATCTCTTTCGTCATGTGAGTCGAATGAGGAGAGAGATAAAAGAGATAAGGGGACATGCGAGGGGCAAAATTATTTGTAAAATTTTCTCAGACGCTTTTTTTATTTATGAAATACAATCAATTTGACAATCACAATTATTTTGCAACATTGAAAATGAATATTTTGTGTCATTTCAATTGTTTCTCACTTGAAAATTAAAATTAAATCGTATATAAAGATGAGTTGAAAATATGTATTTCTATATTCCACACAGTTAACTAGTTTTTTAAATCTAAATTTTGATACCTTTTTTAATATTGAGTGAAAATATTGGAGGAAATTAAATTGATGAATTTTGAGGATGTTTTTCTTTGTTCCATTGTTGGTTTGAATCTTTTGTGTCCATATAATTTTGATAAATTTAATGTTCCTATTATCTCTTTATGGAAACTGTCACATTTCTCTTATGAAGGTTCATTTGTGCTATTACTTTTCTTAGAGACCTGGTAATTTTAAGGGGCCAGACAATTCCTATAGGTAGGGGTGGATGCATTGAGGGACAAACAGGGATGAAGTAAATTCACTGGGTTGGAGTACTGGGTTTTATCAGAAGTATAGGAGCCTCTACATATAGATATGGATATAAATATGTAAGTATATATACGCAGGAAGGGTTGGCGCTTTGGCACCATGATATTTGGGTGAGCAAGTATACACTTGGTTTAATGTTTCCAAGGGGATGGGGTTTTCCTTATTCAATTGGTCATTCAGTGCCACATTTGTCACGTTGAATTTGATTTTCAGGAGTAATTTTTGTATGTTACAATTGATGTTATTAATTTCTTCGATTTATAATATGGGTATAATGAAACACATATGGTTATATCACCATCAAAATATTTTTAGGATTAAAGAAAAAAGCTTGAATTTTGAAGGTAATGATTTAGGGGACTGTCACACCAAATGCAAAACAGAAGCTATATTTTATCTCTAGACCCTACATGACTTCCTAAAATATTCTCACTCTCAATCATCTAAATATACCAACCCAACATCGCATCTTTTCATTACACCGAATCAACACCCATTTGAGACAAGGTACTTTAAATGATTTGCTTTAGATTGATGAATTTATTTCAAATATATTCTATGGGAAGCTTTTGGTGTTTTTATTTCGTATTTGAGAAGTTGTTTTTATGGTTCATATGTAGTTTTTTTTTCCTAATAAATTGAGCTGAGTTATCGAGTATGCATTCAGACCTAGTTTACCAAAAAAAGGAAATTATTCACCGAATGATCTCAGTTTTTTTTTAGCATGGATTTGTTTGATGAGAAGTTGATGTGGGCACAATCCAGTCAGGCCCTGTTTGCCATTCAAATTGGAACAAAATAAAAATAAAAATTACACATTATTCGATATTCATGCATAATTTTCAGAGGAACCGAATCAAACTAGACCTATACGATTTGAGTTTGGTTCACCCATTTTTCAATTTAGGAATATGAGAAGCGCCATAAAGGTGACGGCGGCGAGCCATTGATTTGTCAAATCGAGCAAGAGGTGAACAAAAGAGAAAAAGGAAGAGAAAAAGAAAGAAAGAGGTGGAAAAGAAAGAAAGGAGGTGTGAAAAGGAAAATGACCATAGTTCACCTAAAAGAAAAAAAAATAGTGTTATAGTTGTCATTAATTGACTATAAATTTGGATTAAGACATTTGAGTTTTAATTGGGCTAAAAGATATAAATACTACTTGAGGTTAAGAATGTGATTCGAGTAAAGGACTCACTAATGTAGTGGTTTTGGGTAATTGCTTCCTGAGTATGTCCTGAGTTCGGGTCCTAGCATATGTATAATACGTGTGATTTTAGTATATTATTGCCCCTCTCAATAGGAAACATCATCAAAAAAATGTGATTCGAATAGTAATTGAGTTTATTAGTATATTTTGATATAAATAAATAAGTAAAATAACAACTGATTCAGCTAAGCCTAGCTGATTTTTTCAAGGAAAGAATAGGAAAGGGAATCAATCTAAAACGATCTGGTTCGTTTTTTGAGCTTAAGTTGGCTTTTTTTGTTGTTGTTGTTAATACAGTTTCTTTTCAAATTCGGTTGGGTTCATTAAGTTGACCAATTTTTTCCCAACCCTAATGAGAAGTCACTAAACCCTCTATTATGTTTTAATGATCAGCTGTCAAACCCTCTAACATAGTTTTATTAACTAGCTACGAAAAGATTCATGTGTATTCGATATTTGTTTATTGAATAGAACCACGACAACTAGTTCAAAAATTTATGAAAAAGTTTTTAAAAAAACTCAACAAATGTCGATGTTTACTTTAACATTGCTTCAATGAAAAGCTTCCAAAATGACAATTTAACATTAGCTTTAGTCAAGAATGGCTTAAATATAAATCCTGTGAAGTTTTACTTGCATGTTGAAGTGAGCACATTAACAATATGAGGTGTATAAGGCCATCTTCAGTTGCAAGCTAAACTCACAAATTTAGCCCTTTCACACCCAAAAGCCATCTTTAACAAGTGGGCTAAACCTGCCATATCATTGAGTCATACCTAGTCAACAAGCTGAAGAGGTCGAGTTATGGGCCAAACTTGGCATGATTCATGGGTGGACTATTTTAAGCATGTTGCCGTCAACTAAGGCCCCGTTTGGGATTGCTTTTTTTGGCCAAAAACCTGCTTAACTTTAAAGTTAAGCAGTTTAAGGTGTTTGGTAAAATTAAAATATCCCGATTATTTTAAAAGCAGTGGCCTTTTGACAGCAGCTTTTAAAAGCTGACTCTGGGTTACTTTTCAAAGCTGCTTTCAAAATAAGCATAGATGAACATTTAATGAATTTTTTAATTCCTAAAATATCATCATTCATTTTAAAAAATGACACCACCTCCACTTCCACATCCAACTCTACCACTTGCACCACCACATTTACTACATCCACAACCACCGCCACCACCACCACCACCACCACAACCACCACATCCTCCTCCTCATCCTCCGCCACCACCGCCTCCAACATCACCTCCTCCTCAGTCACCACCACTGCCACCACCACCACCACAACCACCACCTCCACCTCCACCACCTCCACCACCATCACCACCACCTCCACCTCCACCATCACCACCACCACCACCATCACCACCACCTCCACCTCCACCTCCACCACCACCACCACCATCACCACCTCCTCCAAAACCTCAACATCCACCACCACCACCATGCTGCCACTACCACCACCACCACCACCACCTCCACAACTGCCATCCCCACCACCACAACCACCAACTCCGCCTTCATCTCCACCACCAACTCCACTTCATCACTACCACTACCACCACATAATTAGTGCATAACATTTTTAACATCATGTCTATTTTAGTCATCATTCACAGTAACAATAATTTTATATTAAAATTTACCAAACGGTTTTAACACTGCTTTTGTACTAACAACACTTTAAAAATAGTGTTTACCAAACATGGAGTTGCTTTACTTTACAGCTAATTATTTTTAAAGCACAGCAGAAGCAACTTTTTTTAAAAATGACAGCAATCCCAAACTAGGCCTAATTGTTATTATTATTATTATTATCCAAAAACTTGATTTTGTTTTTGAAAAAGTTTAAAAAAATTCATAATTTTTTTCTACAAATACCAATTGCATTTCTACATACTTTCCCACATTTTTTCATCATTCCTTTTACATACTATCCTTACTCTTTTCATTCTTCTACAAAAATTCCCGCAATTTTTTCATGTTTTACATATTATCCTTCCTCTTTTTCATACTAAAATGGCCCTCCCTTCATTTAAAATGTAGTTTGAATATGGTCTAAGTAGTACTTCAATTAAACTAACCAATATATTTAAAGAATATGCTAAAAATAAATAAATAAAATATTGAAGGGCTATTATTTTGAGAAAAAAACAATAATATTTATTGATGAAACAAAACAAGTATAAAGTCACAAAAGTACCGAAATGGGTACAATATTTTCAGTGACCAAACACAACAACATGTTGAATTGATTTGGAGAGAATTACGCCTAAACCAAAATGCTCAAACCCTTCATGTACTCAAATCAGCAATACAGATCCACTGTGCAATGACAAAAATGGCAAATCCATATCGCAGCCAAAAATTAAAATACAAAACACAGCAAACTCCTATAGATTTACTGAGAATTAAAATAAAAATAAAGCAAACTCCAAAAGAGTAATAATATACTAAAACAAACAAAGAAACAGGATCGCCGCTCCACATCCTCTCCGCAACCGAAGAGACCCATAACGCCACCGCTAATGAGATGATAAAAAGATAACGTTATTGCATTGTTGGTTGATATGATACGAATCATGATGCACGTAGTTAACCAGTAAGTGCACAAACGTGACAATAGTAAGTAGTAGTTAATGTTAATACAAATATTTATAAATCGGTCCAAATCTAGAATCTCGAGTCTCTGCATTTAGCATCGATGCATTTAAAAAGAATATCAACCACTTGATTAATATAACGAATTTTAAGTAATCCACGTCAATATAATTGTATTAGACAAAAACTCTCACA